ACATCCCAGATCCCCCTCAATGATCATCTTTTCTTTCAGTCTGAGTAACTGAGAGCGACTCGATTTTAGCCCCCTGCCATTTTTTAATTTACTTGGGTTCCATTCCCACACTTACTTGTGTTCAATTTCCACTTTGACATCATGCAGCAAGGGGTGTGTGTGTGTGTGTTGAGGTGTATGATAGTCTGCTACCATTATGTATCACCAGAGTGTGGTGGAGCTGTGGGCATGGGCCATGACAACTACCACCCAACTGACCTGGCAAACACAAGCATCTGTAGCCTAGTTGGTAAAGGAAGCACTCTTGTATGTGACTCAGCATTGCTGAGGTTGTGAGTTCAAATCTCACCAGGCACATCCTCAGTTTGTTTTTCTCCACATCTTGTGCTGTTCATATTCTGCGGGATTGTGTGCGATCACGGGACATTGAAAATCGTCACCGTGGACCTCGGCCGTATCAGTCATATGAACATTTCACATAAGTTGTGCAAAAATCCAGCTTGACACATCAATTCCTTTAATTGATGAGTTACAAGTTACACTACACTACATGTGTAGCGTAACTAGGCATGTAGTGTAGCGTAGTGTAGCTTGGCCCAATTTGGTATAAGTTACGCTAAATGTTAGCTTCAACTCAGTTACGCTGCTGGTTAGTGGAAGTTTTGTTAGCTTGGAAAAAGTTACGCTACTTGTTAGTTTAGTGGCAATTATTTCAAGCTAACACTAAAAAAAATTTGAGGGAAAAATTTCACGCTACGCTGGCAGTTAGCTCAGCGGTGTGTAGCGTGAACTAACACTACAGGATTTCCAGCAAAAAAAAAGCAACTACGCTAACATGTAGTGGCCAAATAGCGTAGTGTAGCGTAGCGGCCCACCGTTGCTCCTATAGATGAGGAAGTCTGGGTGGCCGCGCCAGAAGGTTTGCCGACAGCAGAAGGGGAAGCGAGCCTACTTGAGAAGGCTCTGTACGGGACGAAGCAAGCAGCACGATGCTGGTGGAAACATCTCAGCAGCACACTTTCTGCCCTTGGATATGAATCAGACTCCAGCGTATACACTCTCAGCAACAAGTCCGACCGCTCCATAATCTGGGTACATGTTGATGACAGCATTGTCACCGGATCGTCCAACGAAGCTCTGAAACTACTGGAAAAACAACTGAAAGGTAGTCTAGAGATCAAATGGAATGAAGGCATTTCCAGCATGATTGGTGTAAAAATCAACAGAACATCAGAAGGTTTTGAATTGACTCAGCCAAACTTGATTGAAAAGGTTCTGAAAGAGCGATGGGATGGACAATCTACATTCTCAGCACCACTACCCCAGGGCTACACGGCTACACTCGATCCAAATAGTGAGGGCATCAACTCCACTGATTACTTGTCGATCGTGGGAAGCCTCAGCTACGTGGTGGTGGGCACTAGACCGGACATTGCTTATGGAGTCAATTACTTGGCAAGGTTCTCTTCCAGACCTTCGGCCATCCACTGGAAAGGATTAAACCACCTGATTGGCTATGTAGCGGCAACAAAGTCGATTCCCCTTCGCCTACACCCAACGGAAAGCAAAGAGACTCCGGTGGAATGCTACTGCGATGCTAACTGGGGAGGAGTGACGTCTAGATCTTCCTACGGTGCAGTCATACGCCTTTACGGTCGCCCAATTATGTGGGTGTCAAGACGCCTAGTTACGGTCGCCAGCTCCACATGCCAAGCCAAGTACATGGCGCTAGGCCACGCGACCAGACATTGCCTATGGATCCGTAATCTTCTCTACGACATCATTGGCTGCCAATTTGTAATTAAAATCTATTGCAATAATCAATCCGTGGTGAAGATAGGCTGTGAAGAAGCGTCGAACAAGAGGACACACCACATTGAGCGGGAATACTACGTGACCAATCAGGCCATCTATGAAGGAAAGACATCCCTCAAATGGATACCGGGAAAGGATCAAATTGCCGACGTGTTGACCAAAGCTTTGGGGAAGTCTGCCCACTCACGTTGTGCGACAACCATACAGGGCTCCCATGATGAATAATTCCTTGTTACTCTTAATTTCTTCAACATATCTTATTTATTATTTTTTTTATTTTATTGTTTCTTCATTTCTTTATTTTTTTTTTTCTTTCTTCTTCTCTCCTCCTTCTATTTTCTTCTCCTTCTATATTTGAGTATCAGTGTCTTGTCGAGGGGGGGGGATGTTGTGACATAGTCATAGGGCTCGACTGCGACACATGTCACAGATTTGTAGTTAGTCTATAAGAGTGATTTTCATAACTAAAAGTAATGAAAATCATTGATCTCCCGAGCTCTCACTCCAACAAAGATTGCCCTCTCAACTTCAAGTGTCGGTGGTGTCTTGGTGTCTATCATGGGCACGGGTCAACCAACGGCAATTTAAAAGCTCATCGCAATGGCTATACCCAGAAGGATAAGAACCCCCAAGGATGCCCCAACCGCAACAAAGCTAAGCAGGAAGGAATAAAGCTTCCGCCTTCAGTTGCCAAACAATGTAAGATGGCTGATGATGGTAAACAGAAGTTGATCAGCACATTTCTTCAAGCTCAGCCTACCTTTATCAACCGGGTATTGAACCAGCTCATCATGATCTGGCAAATTTGACAAGCCCTCCCATGGTTGCGCATTGAGGGTCCGTAACTTTGTGCTGCATTCCGACTGTAACAATTTGCCATGGTATGTAATAAAGAGAAACAAAGCTGATGAAGAACAGGGGTCTTTCCTAATAGGCTGGCTCTCTTTGATGGTGGACTTTCTCCCACTTTATACCTGATTTGTACTTATTTTATTTCCAAGTGTGGCTGGTGATCCATGTGGAGTGTTACTGATGGGTTGTTGGACTTTGTGGTTCTGATGGGAGTGTCTGTGGGATGATTGAAAGTGTCCATGAGTGTATTACATATGTAGGATGTTGTTTTGAGGGGTGTTATGATATGTAAAAGGTGTGAAGATGGTCCAGAAAGGTGGTAGAAAGGTGTAACAGGTTTTGATTGGTCTTACCACATCCACCCCCAAATTAGATGATGTCCCCATCATCCAACCTAGTGTTACCTGTAATTTTATGTAAAGCAGGAGAGAGAAAAAGATAAAGAAAAGAAAAGAAAATAATGAAGAAATGAGACTGGGAAGAAAGAGAGATGTGAAGTATGTACCAAGAAATTTATTAAGATTGTGGAGGCTCAATGTAAGGAAAAAGAAAAAATCAGAAGAAAAAAAAAAGTGCATCAATTTTTATGTAGGATTTTTTTTAATGATTTATACTGTAATTTTTTGATTGGGTTTTGTATTAATTTTCAGGAAAAAAAGAAA